ATACTACCCAGCCTGTAGGAAAAATGAAGTCTTGATACATGCTACAGTATGGATGGAGCATGAAGGCATTATGTTGAACAAAATAAGTCAATCACAAAAGGACAAATATTGCATAATTTCACATATCTAAAAAGATAGGAAAAGGTAAATGTATAGAGAACAAAATTATTGGTTACCAGGGGCAGGAAAGAGGAGGGACAGGGGGGTTAATGATAATGAACACATCACATTGAATAAGCATTGAGTTGCATAGCCAATTACTGTAATGGCTGTCAATAAGTTGCACACATGTTAAAAGTTGCACACATGGCAAAAGGCATGACAGATAAATCTATAATAATGACAAAAAAGAAAAGAAAGAGTAGCTGCTGAGGCTGCTTATGTACAGCCAAAAACCTCATGGGATTTAGTTTCTTGGTTTGGAGGTTTATGGTCATGATTTCATGGCACATTCCAATTAACTAGCCCAATAGTGCCTCTGTTTACCACTTAGTTTTATATATAGTGTTTGGGGTCCTGAAAGCTTGCAAGCTGCTATCCAAGGCTTAACAACTGGTCTCTATTCACCTGGAACAACAGAGGTAGGACAGTCAAGAATAGGAAGAATATATGGAATGTTATGGCTAATTGCTTCCATGTACAACTGCTTCCTTTGCCATGAGACCTGGACAGTGCCCAGCTACCATGACTGAACATTTTGATCAAAGATTCCACAGAAGAATCCTAATCAAGGAGGGGAAAATGCAGAGAAGAATTTCAAATTCTCATGGACTCCAGATTTCCTAGAGCCATAAAGGTTGGATAAACCCCTGAAACTAGTGTCCTGAGATAATCTTGAAATCTTAAAACAAAAAATATCCCCTGAAGTCTTCTTAAAACCAAACAACAGTTTACCCTAAATGGTAAAATATGTCTGCCTTGAGCATCATGCTTCTTTAAGAACTACCTTTATGGGATCAAATGACAACAGCAAGTTGAAAGATTAGACAGAAACCTTAGAGGGCAGTGAGTCTATGTTAATGAGGAAGAAACAACTCAGAAAAGGAGGGTGAGAATGGTTGCACAACTTAAAGAATGTGATTAATGTCACTAAATGGTACATGTAGAAAGTGTTGAACTGGTATGTTTTGCTGTGAATATTCTCAACAACAACAAAATAAAGAAAATTAAATATAAAAACAAAAATTAGAATTTTGAGATCCCATCAGTTTCAGTACAGTTTTATTAAATCTTTTTTATTAAGATACAATTCACATACCATGAAATTTCACCATTTTAAAGTATACAATTCAGTGGTTTTTAGTATTTACAAGATTGTACAATCATCAATACTATGTAATTTCACAATATTTTCATCACCTTAAAAAGGAACTCCATACCCATTAGTAGTCACTCACCATTCTCATCTCCCTGCATGGCAACAACTAATCTACTCTGTAGCTCTATGAGTTGCCTATTTCAGACATTTCATAAAATCAGAATCATACAATATGTGGTCTTTTACGAGTTTGATTAAATCTTACATTTCATTATCATTAGAGAAGTGTATGGTTTCTTGTTCTCCTAATTAAAGCATGATTAAGGCAATGCCATCATCACTATAGGAGAAATACTATACAGGCACAAAAAAAACTACTCAAATGAAATAAATCGGGAATGATTAACTACATTCAAAATAAACATATACTTATCATATAAATATAAACCTTGAATATTAATAAAAATTGTGAAATAACTTTATTGGGTAGATGTGAGTATAAGTATGCATCTACCAAAATAAAAAGCCAATATGTATCATACGAAATAGGAAAATTCAGATATAGCAGTATAACCATGTTATCTAAAAATATGGTGAGAAATACTAGAAGAAAAAACTGAGTTCCAAATGGATGCTCTGGGAAAAATGACAGGAGTAGGAATGGAGGCAAAGACTACTACTTTTGTGCCAGCCTTTTAGTACTCTTTGACTTTTAAAGTATGTAATACAAATGAGGTACGATGGATTGTTTTTATATGGGCTTTCTTGCCATGGTCTTGTAACCTCCACTAAATGACTGGGTGGGATTATGCAAATGAGGTGCTTATGGCCAACCAAGAGGATTGGATAGCTTTTTATAATACAAATAAGGTAGATGGCACTGCTATGGGGATGGACCATGCAAATAAGGTATATGAAATTCTAATGAAGAGATCTATCAGTTTTGCCATACCATTAGGCTTCAAATGAGTCATCCGAGAATCAGACTGGGTACCACCAAGAAGGAAGAGCATCCTTTGGACCTGGGATTTCTGCACTGAGAACCTCCCAGACCCAGAAGACACAAAAAGAGAGAGAGAGAGAGAGAGAGAGATGTATCATGGTAGATAGTTTAAGATGGAAAAAAGCAATGGCAGATAAATGGTGACAGTAGAACCAGGAGACTAGTACAAGACAGAGTAGTGGGCTTTCTTTGCCCACAGAGTGAGACAGTTACAGTGCGCGTGCTTACCCACGCTGCAAAAGAGCTGAGAGCCTTTGGCTGGTGGAGTGGTATGCCTCTGGGCACTTATAGTAGAGCTAGGCTAGTTGACCCATGGAGCAGAGTAAGAGAACCGAGCACTTTCGGGCAGAAGGCTTCTTAAAAGAATACAGAGTACCCTGGCACTTACTGGTGGAGCTAAAGAGCTTTGTAACAGTTGCTCAATCAAGACAGAGGCCAGGCCTAGGGGCTGAATACCAAGGACCAGAGAAAGGCCTGCCTGCAGGCATGGATGAGAAAAAGCTGTCCTGATCAAAGAATTGTATCCTGAGTCATTCCTATTCCTGAATTGTAACCTGTTACTTCCCTAATAAACCTCATAACTGTGAGAATGGTCTGTGAGTTCTGTGTGGCCACTGAAAAAACCCAGCAGGGAAACAGAGAGGCACTGGGAGGGATGGCTGGTATGTCTGACCTCTACTTGTAGGAATTGGCCTTGGGCTGTTGATTCTGATAAGGATTCTCACCTCTCATAAAGTTAGACAAGGAGTTGTAATACTGCCACTACACCACTTTTACAACAAATATAAGGTCTGTTGTTCTGGGGTTTTTTTTAAGTGAAGACTGGCTTTTAGGTAAACTGGTCATACAGCCAATGATCTTTAAACAAATAATCTAGACCAGTGCTTCTCAAACTTTGCAGCGCACGTTAGTCACCTGAGGATCTTCTAAACGCAAATCCTGACTCAGTGGGTCTGGGGTAGGATCTGTAATCCTATATTTTTAAAGGCTGATGCTGGTGGTCTTTGCACACACTTTGAGAAATGAGAATTCGGAGTCATTGTTACAAGAAGGCTATAGTGCCAGAGCAGTGAATTCTCTAGGTGATTCAGGCTCATCCATTTAAAACAATACACTGTTAATTTGACAATCTTTGCTGTAAAATTTCTACATATTTTGGCCTTTTCCAAACTGCTACCTTAATTTTTATAAAAGTTACTGTACATTGCTATTAAAAAAAAAAAAAAGACACTAAACTATTAAGAAAACATACATATAAATAGCCATAAAAATTAGAAGGCAGAGAAATATGCAAATAATTGTAGTATTTAGGTGATTAAATATACAGTTTTTAAAACATATTTTATTTTTAATAGGATTAGTACTGTCACTTTTTTGAGAGATATATATCTAAAAATTTCATGCTTGCTGTTATAAATAGGCAAAAGCCCCCCCAAACTTTTGATGTGACTATATGATTACTTTCATATCTAAACTAATATGATACGAAATGATTAAATAAATTCAGTTTAAAAAAAAACAGTAAATTATAGAGTTGTACAGTCATTCTTCAGTATTCATGGGGGATTATCTCCAGGAATTCCTGCAGATACCAAAATCCAAGGATGCTGAAGTTCTTTATATAAAATGGCATAATATTTGCATATAACCTACCCCATATACTTTAAATCATCTCTAGATTACTTATAATACCTAATACAATGTAAATGCTACATAAAGGTTCCCTCTTAGCCTTTGAGGGATTTCTTTAACGATTTAATTGCTACCACTTCAGCCCCCAAAATTTTCTATCTATGGTTGGTTAAATCAGTGGATGCAGAGCATCAACTGTATGTATATTATGATACTATATGTACAGAAACAAAACACTATGTACTGTGTAGGGTCGTAGGGGTGGGTGTGTGAGGGTGTATGTGTGTTTTTGCATGTACATCTAAAAAGGTCTGTAAAGATGTTCATGAAGCTGTTAACAGTAGTTACTCTTGGAGAATATCATCAATTTAGATTCTTATTTTTGTGCATTAAATTCAACACTTTAATGTGTCGATTTTTAATTATCCAAACTAAGCGAGAAACTTAAGGTTTTTGCATATGATAGGTTTTTGCAGCATTCTTACTCAGAACATACCCCAGAAGAAATCAGACAAGGGGTATCCTGAAAAGTATAGGATGAAAAAAGTATGCTATACATTTGACTGCTAACCAGAAGGCTGGCAGTTCAAACCCACCAGCCACTCCTCGGAACAAAGGTTGGGCAATATACTTCTGTAGTGATCCGGCCTCAGAAACCCATAGAGGGGTCACTATGAGCTGGATATGACTCTCCCACAGTGGGTCTGCTTTTGGTTTTTATAATATCTTTAAAATAATTAACATTCACATTTTACCCCATCATACCCATCCTGCAACCACAATTGCCTGCACATATAAAACTATAATTTAAAAAAATTTTAGATCATGAGAGAGGAAATAAACAGACTAATACAAAACACAGTTCTTAATTTCAAAGAATGAACCAAATAAAAAAAAAAATCAAACCAACTTTTCAAGGACAGTGGAGGAGAACAAGGAGTAAGAAGCATCATCAGTCTCTCATTTGTTCTTTCCTTTCTGATTAAACTCTTTTTTTTTTTTTTTTTTCCTAGTTGACTTCTTGGTGTCTCCCAGCTGAACTCAGCCCCCTGAGAGATGCTGGACAGATCAAGTAACACTGTAAGCAAGAAAACATTAGAATCATACCTTTTCCAAAATGAACTTGTTCAAATAAGGCATATAGCCCTGATTGGAGACAGGCCCTTCATCATCATCCCTAAAGTGCTCTTCAAGGGCAATAGGATCGTGTGGAACCTTCAGCACAGTGCACAGGTTATGGGAAAGGACCTATGAAGGAAAGAGAGAGTAGTTTAAAAACATCCACTAACCAACAATTGACACCTTCACTTCTGAACACAACCTGCTGCTCCATGCCCTTGGTAGAGACATATGGAGAATAAACTAGTAAGTACAGGGTAACCGTTCTCTGGAGAAGGAATCATGCTTGGTGAAGTGAAAGCTCAACGACAAAGGGGAAGGCCCTCAACAAGATGGACTGACACAGTGGCTGCAATGATGGGCTCAGGTACAGCAAGGATTGTGAGGCTGGCACAGGACTGGGCAGGGTTAAGTTCTGTTGTACATAGGGTCGCTATGAGTCAGAACAGACTCCACAGCACCTAACAACAACAGGGTAAGAACCGCTCAGCTGCTAGCTCCCAACTTATTACTCCCAATTGGCACTCATCCCCTCCCCACTTTTAGCTCATTTCAAATAAATCTCTAATACAAGCCTGCTATAAGCCAGGCTCCATGCAAGATCTGCTAATATAATCCTACTGGTTGTCTTTTATTAATTGTCCCACATTAGAAAGAAAAAGGGAAAAGAGCAAGAGAATGTGTTCAAGATTAAACTTTTTCCAAAGCGTGACCAAAACCAAAAACCAAATTCACTGCCATGGAGTCGGATCCGACTCATAGCAACCCCTCCTTGGGTTTCCAAGGCGGTATCACTACATAAGTAAATTGCCCAACCTCCTCTGAGGTGTGGCTGGTGCGTTTGAACCGCCAGCCTTCTGGTTAGCAGTCAAATGCCTTAGGCACTACACCACCAGAGCTCCCCCAGTATATAAATATACCAAACGTTAATTAAGTCATCTCTTAGAGTCCAGTCAAGTCTAAAATTCTATGACTCTTATGTTGTTTTCAGCATAAGTATAAAGAGTCTAAGTATTAAAAAAAAAAAAGAGGAAGAAATAAAGGATCTGATTTAGAACTGAAAAAAATCAATAGCAAAAACATCTTAGGAGTCAAAAATATTTTGTAGAAAATTTGCATTCCATAACATGTATACAAAAGGTTACTGTTCTTGCAATAACCTAAGTGCACACTTCAATATTCAGGCAGTTTAACAGCTTGGGCTATCTTGGTGCTAGTAATCTTGTTTCACATTAAAAGAAAGTGAAAAAATAAAAGCTTAGGTCCTTCCATTCCATTTGTGTATTCTGAACAGGTCAAATTACAGGCTGTGCTGCTGTAATTTAACAGAGCTAAGGCTTTGTTTAACAGAGAATCTTAGATATCAAATCCCATGTTAAAATATCCCCTATTTTTCTCAGCCCTAACCATTCCACCAGTTAAGGAGCCACACTCATCCCAAAGAACATTTTTCATTCCATTAAGCAAGTTATTTTTTTTCCTGCATAAACATGTTTCAGTTAGGATTATTTTAAGATTTCAAAATCGTAATCTATAAAAAGAACATTTACATATCTTCTTTCTACATTTGTTTGTTTCTCAAATCTCCATTTATGTGGAGATCCTTTTCTACATGCTCTACTGGTTTTAAGGAAGTAAGTAAAGTAAAGGAAGTAAATTCACAAATGGTTCTTAATGCAGTAATGAAGACTTAAATGCAGTAATGAAGACTTTTATCAGCCCCTACAAAGCAGGCTGTGTTTCTCAAGCAAACCCTCTATTTACCAGTAGAGCACAGGAAAAGAGCACGGTGGTGCTTTCATTGAAGAATCTTGCACCACACTTCAGTAAAATCCTAAACAGACATTTCCTTTATTTATGCAGCAAAATCTACAGACTCTAAAGAGGTGTTCTAAGTATCAAATTCAAGAATGTATATGAAAGTGCTTATAAACTGCAAAGTACTAGGACATATGAATTTTAGAGAAATAAAAGATATTTCTCAGGCATAGTTCAAAAGATTATTCCAATTTAAAAATCATTTGGGTCTTTACCCAAGTGAAAATTCCCAACCACTAGCTAAAGTACATCCATAAAACTTTAAGAACAATGAGGAAGCTCACTATGTGCTGATAGGAAAGATTTCCAAGATAAATTACCTTAGAGTATGTATAGTATGCAAACTCTTATGGGTTTTTTTAGTTTATTTTTTAAAAAAGGAGAGAAAAATAAACTCTGGAAGGATATATAAGAAACTATTAATAGTGGGAGCAAAATTACTTTGATAGGAGACAAAAGTAGAAGACTCTTCACTATACTTCCCTTTTTTACTATTTTTTAAAAAAATTAACTATTCAAAAATGTACTATCTATTTTTAAAATTAGATGTTAAAAATAAAAGTGGCCAGCCTCAGATCACACAGCTAAATCTACTTACCTTCAAAGTCAGTACTTTTTTCTTCTACATTAGCCTACTCCCTAGAGATGAGGTGTAAAAGGAAGATATGATCCACAGCAAAGTACCATATTTAATGGATGAGTGACATGTAAAGGCAAAAAAAATGTGTTCAGAAAAGGAGAAATAGTATGTGCTACAGTGACTCCATGAGAAGCCTTAATGGCACAGCGGTTAAGCACTGGGCTGTTAACCAAAAGGTCGATGGTTCAAACCCACCAGCCACTCCATGGAAGAAAGATGTGGTAGTCTTCCTCCGAACTACAAAGCAGTTCTACTTTGTCTTATAAGGCCAGTGAGTCGGACTCAATTCAACAGCAGTGAGTTCGTGTTTTGGTAGCGGTGATTTCATAAACCAAAATCGAAATCCATTGCCATCAAGTTGATTCCGACTGGTGGCAACCCATGTGTTGCAGAGTAGAACTGTCCCGTAGGGTTTTCTTGGTGATAATCTTTATGGAAAAAAGATTGCCAGGGCTTCTTTCCACAGTGCCTCTGGATGGGTTCAAACCATCAACCTTTAAGTCAGTAGTTGAGCACAAACTATTTGCATCACTCACAGCCTAGTGACTTCATACCAAAAGAAACCACTCACTGCCGTCGAGTCAGCTCCAACTCATAGTAACCCCTCCTTGGGTTTCCGAGGCAGTATCTCTACAGACGTAGATTGCCCCACCTTCCTTCTGAAGAGTCGCTGGTGGCTTTGAACCGCCAGCCTTCTGGTTAGCAGTCAAATGCCTTAGGCACTATGCCACTAGACTTCCTACAACTTCATAGAGGAAGTGAAATATAACCTAGGCCTTAAAACAAGGATAGATTTTTGGACAGGAATAGAGGCAAATAGAAAGTTTTTCAGAAAGAAGAGTAACATGAGAAAAGTAGAGAATTAGTGTAAAGTCCTCAGAGAACAACAGAAACAAAACAAAAAAAGACAAATGTCTTTGGGGTTTCATAGACTCTTCTAACTAAAGTCCTGCCAGGGGCCTTGGCTACCATATTGTCATCCCTCTCATTTTACAGATGGAGCATATTGGCTCAAAGAGATTAAATTGGTCTTTCTTGACTAAGGTTACTGAGCAGAACTGAGACAGAACTCAGGTTTTTGCAATTCCTGGTCCAACACTCTCCAATAATAACGAGCATTGTGTTTTCAGTTCTCTAAAGTCATCTACAATGATCTTGTCTGATTCAGTGACCCCACTGCATAAGACTTAGATTTGAACTATAGACTTCAGCCTTAGACAATTAAATGACATGTTTGTTAAAAACAAAGGAGCTCTGGTGATGTACTGGTTAAGGCATTTGGCTGTTAAACAAAAGATCGGTGGTTCTAACCCAACTTGATGGCAATGGATTTCAATTTTGGTTTTTCTTTGCTCTGCAGAAGAAAGATGAGGCAGTCTGCTTCCATCAAGATTTACAGCCCTGGGAACCCAGTGGAGGTCGCTATAAGTCAGAATTGACTCGATGACAGTGAGTCTGGTTTAGTTTTGTGTTAAATACAAGGATAGCTGAATTCAATGACAATTTTTTTAGCCTTCCAACTTAGGGAAATGGTGAGGGAGGCAGCACATGGCAGTGACATGGGCTCTAGATGAAGAGATCTGAGTTTCAGTCCTGGTTCTGCTACTTACTATTAGGCTTCAGTATCCTCACTGTAAAATAAAAAGGTAGACTCATCTCTAAAATTAAGAAAAAAACCAACATGAATTCCATCTCCTTAACATGAAACCCAACTCATTTCATGAATTCAGCAAAGAGAACTATACTTTAAATCAGCTTTGTTGTAGCTTTTTTCACTGTTAGTAAGCCCTAGAAAAAGATCCCTGGTGGCACCATAGTTCAATGTTCAGCTGCTCATTGAAGGCTGGCAGTTTGAACTCACCCTGCAGCTCCACAGAAGAAAGACCTGGTGATCGGCTCCTGTAGAGATTATAGCCTACAAAACGGTTCTACCTAGCAACACTGGGTCACTGGAGGTTGAAAACTGACTCAACGGAACTCAACAACCAAGGCTTAGAAAAGGGAAGTCTTCAAACAAAACAATTAAAAACTAAATAACTGATCACTGAAAAACTTCGGTCACTAACAGAGGGAAAAGAAAGTTGTGTTCTAAGTCTTTATATTTTTTTTATCATCAGCAATTTTTTTCAAAATCCTGACTGTATCTCAAGTTTTTTTAAACAGAAAATGAAATGTATAAAGAAACTAAAAATTTGGTGGGCAGAATACAAACTAGTAAACATATGCTTATAAAGCAATTTATGCTTCTTAGAGGACACTCACATCATCCATTAATTTGAGTCTCTCCCTGAGGAGAGTAGATATTATTGCTATTTGACAGATGAAGAGGCTAAATTAGAGAAAGATTAGGAGATGTGCCCAAAATCACAGAGCTTCATGGGTAGTAAGGAGCTCTGGTAGCATAGTACCTAAGGCATCTGACTGCTACAGAAGGTTGGTGGTTCAGAACCATTACTCACTCTGCGGAAGGAAGACTGGGCAATCTACTTCTGTAAACATTTACTGCCTTGGAAACCCAACGGGGGTCACTATGAGTCAAAATTGACTCGATGACAGTGGGTTTGGTTGTTGGGTTTTTTTTTTTTTTTCCCATGGGTAGTTAAACTGGGACTGGAATCCAAACCTCTCACTCTAATGCCCTTCTCTTTCTGGAGAAGCTAATAGCCCTGAG